CACTCACTTTCTGCTAAATGAGGACATAGTAAAAATGTGCATTATGTGAACAAGAAACCAGATGCACGATTTTGCAGGGCCTTGATCTGGGACATACCAGATTCCAGAATTATATGAAGTGAATTTCTATTGTTTACAAGAGACCTGATTATTCCATATAGGAGAACAAATGTACTAAGAAAATTTTATCCCTCTATTCCTCCTTTCAGCTATAATTTGCTTTTTATATTTACTTAGGTGCTATGATATTGGGTGTGTATATATTTATAATTGTTATATCTTCCTGTTTGTTTCAGCTATTGTTTTCTTCAACTTCCCACTTTATGTTTTTCATTTTTAAAATATTTCTTCATTGAATCCTTATTCTTTTTGATAGTCTTCTCTTTATCTATTTACATACTATAATAATTATTTTGATCTTTTGTTTGGGCAAGTCTGCTTCATCTCTACACAATTCTCCATTTTCCTCCCTTTGCTGTTTGAGTTGATGCTTGCACATTAGTTAAATGGACACCTCTCCTAGTTTTCACAGATCAGCTTACCAAATAGGCCCAGCCAGATATTCTGGGAACCTTGTTTTAATTATTTTCCTTCTCCAGGTTGAATCTAAGAGATGTTTTTAATCTGCTCACTCTGTGCTATACTGAAGAAAGGAGCTATGGAATCCACCAGTCTAAGCTAGTCTTCTCTAGCCTAGCCATGGGAGCTTTGGACAGATTATTTTCTCTCACTGGGACAAAATGAGAGATGAGCTTTTTGGTCTATTGAATACTGTCAGGAGGGGAGGAGCTACAGCATCTACCAGTCTAACCACCATATCCATCCTCCTCCAGGAAGTTAACCTTTGCAAGCATGACAAAGCTTCAAGATGGCAAAAAAGAAGTAAATCCTCCAAGAAGTCACCTCAAAATAATGTATGAGTAAGTCAATTCTCTCTCTTCCCTAGGAAAAGCTAGACGTTAAGGGGTCTTTTCCTAATCATCCTTTGGTTTGCTGTAGGGATTCTAGTGAGAGTGTCCCAAATCACCCTCTTAGTACTGATGAGTATCACCCTGTCAGTACTGATGAGTCAAGTATTATATTTGCTGGAGGTGAAGAAGTCTTTTAGTTACTTTCTGTATTTCTTTTTTAAAAAATATTTATTTATTTATTTATTAGTTTTCGGGGCACACAACCTCTTTGTTTCTATGTGATGCTCAGGATCGAACATAGGCCGCATGCATGCAAGGTGAGTGCGCTACCGCTTGAGCCACATCCCCTGCCCCCAACTTCTGTATTTCTCATAGAGGAAATTTGCCCGTGAATTATCAGTGAATTGGTGATTTTGTGATGGCAAAGAAAGCCAAAAACTTCCTACTTTGCTCTCTTGTTGATGTTATTCTCCTGAAGTATTTTAAATAGATAATTATTGTGAGATATAAGTCTAGAAAGCTGATTGTCAAAATATGCATGTAAGTTTGTGTATTTGTATGCAAGTATACTTGTATTTTTATATACATGTGCATGCATGTGGATGTGGTATATGTTTATATATGTGCATGAATATACACAAGTGTAGTACTTTTTCATCAATGGATTATTTATGTAGTTTTCTCAAAGCATTTTGATTACTTTGGCTTTACAGTTATTCAATTATTATTTTGTTATAATTCCTTTGTATTGACTCTCAACAACACTCTTGTTTTTCTGTATTTGTGTGGCAAAATTATTAACACTATTTAAATGTAAT